CCTGCGGCGGTTTATTGTTATCGCTTTACGCTAGCTAAAGTGTGCAGTCATTTGTTTAGCGGCGGTGTGGAAACCCTGCGACCATCTGTTCCTCAGTGTGTGTACATGCGCAAATGGTCTGGCATATCTTTTGACCATCTCTGAGTATTTGCCGCTTCTCGCTGGAATCCTTATCTTTCCCCGTCGCATATGTGCACGGATCGGTGTGCTTGTTTACATTTCACCACACCGGCCTATCGCTTCCAGCTGCCAATCCAGCGGATGTCTTACAACTTCTCTGTGCGGCGCCAGACACAAACTCGCCGCTCCTCATGTGGCCAGTGAACAGTTGGTCTAGGGGCGAATTCCGACAGACGGTAACTCGCCACACCATAAAACCGTTCATTCGATTAAACTTTGTAAAAAAACGCGTGGTCTTTATTGTTCTTTTTAAACATTTCTGTACCTGTTAACTTGCATTTACCAACACGTTGGCTTATTTTCCCATCGTTTTGCCACTATAGAACAGTTGGAATAATTGTCAATTTTCCTCCATCTGAGTCACAGGCATAGTGCCGGAAGCATGGTGGCTCTCCCTAAATACGACACAACGGGATCGTGCATTAGATCAATGGGCCTTTTTATAGCTCCTCAAACCCGTAAAGCTTGACTTTATCAGTTCATTGGAAATTCCCCCACCTTTTTGCTGCGGGGATCCGTTGCGCGAAAATCAAACCATAGACGGGATGAATTAGCACCATTCCCATGTGCGTATAGCTCACCGTGCTTTATTGTGAAACAAATACTTGTGTTATCTGATGAAGCAACTATATTCGATATGATTCTAAATCTGTGTAATGTGGACAATACAGTTTTGTCTTGAAACAACCTTGTGCTCCGTCGCAGTGCATGCGAACGGTGAGGGCGGTTTTCAATTTTGGCGAACGGCTGCGCACATGAAGTATGTGCACATGACCCAATCCGTTTCGATAAGCAAAATTTGCAATTCGCAGCCGGTAACAGAAATCGACTCGTTACATAGGAAACCCGAGAAACTATCCATTGCAACAAACATTTTGGGATCTGTGTACTTGATAAAACGACGATGCAGCTTACTGGTTACATTCTAAGGGCCATTTAAATGCGTTTGTACACAAGCGGTTTTAGATCCCACTTGGATCCCGTTGACAATACCCTCTTTGACCTACTCTGTTTATTCTCCCCTGGGTTCCCTACCTCACCGCCAGTTGGAGGAGCCATCTCCGCCTCATACATGTGTACAACTGTGTGTGTTTGCATTTCCTCATATCGGCTAGTCACTACCGACACTGTGGACGCTTAGCGTTGGACACACCTTATATCTGTGCGCTGCACTGAACACAACCACCGCGTTTTATGTATACTCGGGTCCAGCTGAGCACCTCGGGGACCATCGTGAATGTGTTGGCAATCAGCTCAGAATGGGAAGGTGGTATTTCGATCCTTTGCATTTCCATTATCCTTTTGCTACTTTTTACATTGTATTTATTTTGTAGAGGATATTTTATCCTTGAAATTCTGCTCTTTTTGGTTCATATTGCGCACCTTGAAACTCCTACCTCACGGTCTTCTGAAATGTCATCGGTTTCCCAAAATGTCCTTTCCATTTCCATCAACATTTGCAAGGGGCTTTAACCCTTCGACTACTCGCACTCTCCTCCAATTTGCGTTTTCGTCCACTCGTTAGCCAATATTAACGTGGTCGCGATTCGAGCGACATGGGCTCGATCCGTTCGCCTGCGGGGAATTTTTCTTCATTGTTTCCCCTCTGTCACTCCATTCCGTAGCGACTCCCGAATTTTTACGGGCAGTTCTGACACAAACAAACAGACAGGCCAACATTGCAACGCATGATCGCCTAGATGATAAGATTGGGTGTCTGCAAATACGCATATAAGGGGTCATCTGCATGGAAGCCGGCCGTAGTTTTCTGATAGTTATGACAGGTTTTGCCTACGAGGCTCATTGATTTGAGGCGCCCACCGGTAATCGGTTCCCTCTGATTGGAATCATACGCTTGGCTGTCTAGAGTACAAAGCGACGTGCAGTGCGGGGTTTCGGGTGATCAATACCAGACTCCGCGTCACGCGTGATTACATAGAGGCTATGTTACTACACGCTTGGTCTTTTCTGGAACTGCTTTGCATTTAACTTATACGCTATTCATCGTTTGGATTCAACCCCATAGTGTGTCAGCTGTACGCCGTAACGGCGCTTCGTTGCCGCGTGACCACCACCAGTCGCGCGCGGGCTAAGTATACCGCGAGGACGCCCACCCCTACGCGGATTCGAACCGATGACGTTGTGGTTGCAAACCAAACCCACAGACCACTCGGCCACCGGCCGACGATTCAATCCCATAGCCCATGGTGTATTAGCTGCCGAACAAACTAGTTTTCCTAGGAGTTGACGGACAATCATTGAGTGAAACCACAGTCCACGTGTTGACACGGACAACGATATATTGAGCACAGTTATCTACCACCAATTCCCTGTGTCATTCTGCCGCACCACCCCCGTGGTGCGCATGTCCACTATCTCACTAAAGTAAGGAATACGTTTCCGTCAAAACCTGCTGCTGATGCGGTTTGTGGCTGGTTCAGCTGGGAATAATTTGGAATCCTGGTAAGTTCTCTTGGTGATGAAACATTTGCAACCAAATTACCTATCTCGGTGAAGCACCCAGCAATTGTTCTCCTTTTTCTTTGTCACTGTTCCTTGATTCAAATTTCATTGGTCGGCGGATGTTTTTCCTACCCCCTACGGACCAATCACTTTTAGCCGTGCTTTCGAAGTGGCTGCAGGTGCCAGCTGTTCAGTCTTGTTGCAGTCGCAGTCGCTTGTCCGCATCACTGTGATAGGTCATTGCTGGTTTCCACTGGCCTCCCTTCTCTCCGATATTTCTACAATTTGCTACCCATGACCTACAAAACTTGCGTCGCGCCGTGCAAGATGCATTCGTCATCATCGAACCAGATACTATTAGTGGTCTCCCTCACGTGATCAGGTGGTGTGATGTCCGTCCTGCAACACCGAGGATTCGCAAATAGCTGTTTGCTTTAAGGCTCGCCATTTTCTAATGTTCCCATGGGAGTTTGTAGACCATAGATCCCTTTCTAAGTTGCTCAGTGAGTTCAGCACATGGCGGTTGCCGAAGTATGCTCCTCGGTCCAACGGCTTAGCCTTGTTATCAATTTCGGCAGCTCACTGGCTCGAGTGCCCTTGAACCAACCTATATTTCCTCTGTTACTACATTCATCCAACCGATTCCCGCTCTTCTTTTCCGCCTTCCGTAATCCTGCCCTTTGGGTTGCTTCCGTGTCAAAGCTTGATCACCAGCGATATACTTTGCGGCCAAACGATTTCGGTCAAGTGTGCATGTTGATTCGGTCTTGTGCCAGCATCGACCCACCCATCCGATTGTTTCTCGCTGACGGTTGTCACGAACACACCTGCTATTGTTACAGGGCTTTGTGTAAGCCAATTTCAATCTTTCCTACTGTCGATCCAAATCATATGTGGAAGTGATCGTTGCCAATCACTGTCCCTTACCAAATCACACGCACTCTCTACTGACTAGCTGGGCGAACAACCTCACCGTCGTGCCTGCAGGATGGTTCGGGTCGATCGCGTTCCAGTGAATAGTTCGGTGGCAGTGTTCCAGGACGTGTTTGGTTTTCACCTGGCAAGCGTTCTCCCTATAAAAGCCACAAAGGTCTGTTTAATAACACTGCGACCTGGCGGATGTGACTCGCCACTAAATAAAGTCACTGCCTCTTCCCTTTTCAGAGGATCTTTCCCGCTTCAAGAACTACACCCAGTTCAAAGTGTTTCTTTAATCCCTTCATACGATAGTGAACACAGCGAACAAAAACACGAATTCGGAGTCACATTAACAAATTCACCCACCATGTCCACCTAGACCTACATCAGCGTGACTTACACATACTCCTATATACACACCCACATAGATCCAATACGTCACTGGTCAACTCGCGACATTTTTGTGCGATTGCCGACCATACTTGTTTGTATTATCCTGATCATGCCTTTGCAGGCGTGCCTAGCACTGCCGAGAGTAAAATATTTATTTATTTATTTAATTTATCACAGTTTCATTAGGGGCTCTTTTAGCTATCATTCTGCACTTGCATAAGTTCATTCAAACACCAAGGTTAAGCTATAGTGTGTAGCCCATTCAAACTTGACTCGGTTTGCTTTACACCTTGACCGGTCGCCCGCAATGCAAGTAACACATCACTATCCCACAAGCCGCTGTCACACACCTGCCTTTCACTGTCCTTGGGTTAGGTGCAGCCAATGGCTGCTCAGGTTCTGAACACTGCTGAGGTTCATGCACTAGCCAGTTCTGTTGGTCTCCTGCTACCTTGCGGTGGACAGCGGTTGACCTTCCACCGTTTTCACCGGAGTTCACTTCTGCTGCCGATGCGAGATGAATATACATCCCCTAGTAAGCTGTCATGTTGGTCTGTGCTTGAAGCCTTGTTGAATTGTTACCTGCACATCCCATGCTGGTATCTCGGATGGTAGATCTAGGAGACTGGGGTGCAGGCGTAGCGCACATCCCCTGTGATAGTACCAGGCTCACACGCTGATTCCATCATGGAGCGAGCAGCCATCCAGCCGTGTTTATATTGAAGGAGTGCAGGCATGTTCCGGACGAGCCATATCCTCCACACACGGTCCTTGCGATACAGTTCCCTCGGGCTTACACTGCACATAGGGGCGCCATCTACCCTTGACTTCTCTGTGACTGTCTCCGGTCACAGCGTGGCCCAGTGGGCCAACACGCATGGATAGAGCCCAAATCACAAATTCAGCGACGCAAGATCTAACACAACCAACACACTAGGCCTCGTACTGAGTTTAAACCTCGTTGTGACTCAGTGGAAGCTGTTGCATCACATTCCCGTCGTTCCCCGTTTTTCAGTGAGTATGCTCTTCTTACTTATTCTCCACAGAACTTGGGTTTCATACAGCGACAGCTCGAATTGGAGTGGTCGTCAATCGAACTGGAACTGATTCGTGAAAGGGGCCTATGGGGTCCAATCGCCGCCGACCCCCTGGCTCGATGGAAACTTGATCCCACCGAGGGCCCATGTCGAATGCGGAAACGAATGATGCCGAATCCGTCGTTCTACACCTGTTACCCGTATCAACCGTTATGTTTGGCAAGAACGAGCGCTTCTGATCTCTACCCGGTAAGTGCTATGATTGACTAACTTCACACTCTCTTCATTTTTGAATGACATTCAAATTTAGCACTTTTTTGCACCATATTTTGAGAGATCTTGAGCAGCATCGATAAGTTGCAATGTACTCTTTCATCTCTTAATTTGTGTGCGATACCATTTGTTTTGAGGCGTCATCCGAAATGGTTACTATACAATTTCGCAGTCAATTACATACTATAATAATAAACTTCATCCGTAAAGCAATCGTGTTCCTCAGGCTGATTCGTGCCTCCTTCAAATCGCATCTAGCCCCCCCCCTCACCCACTCGTCTGCATACTTGTGTTCGCATTGGTTGCATTTTGATTTAAGAGCGAACTATCTGGAGTGGTTTAGGGCGGAACATCATTTTTCTATGGAAGATGTTGATTATGTTATGAATAGAATCTGTTGAGAAATGATGTTGCCGAACACATCCGTGACCACCTTTTCTAATGAGCGGTTTTCACGACTGCACATGCTGCGTCATCTAAGATCTGATGCATGTGTGGTGCACAGCCGACACATCTATAGACATTTTCTTTGCTACCTGATCGCCCACATGCTTTCAGTGCGGTTAACAAACTGCGCAAGCCTTGTACCGGTTTTTGGACACAACTGACTCCTATTGATCGACATCGAGTCATTAGCATTAGACCGCTCGTGCGTATGGTTGAACTCGCGAGTCCCACTCAATTGCACTAACTTGCACTGGCTGTCCACGTGACACCCATTCATCTGCGGATCATAACTCCAGTATCTTCACCACCTTAGCAAGTTGTGATATTCGCTCGTTACTGTTCGATTTCCACCTCGTAGAATGTCGGAACAGTCACCGAAACTCGTAGCCCTTTCCTTTCGCAGCTGCTCTTAGTGCTTTTGTTCCCCACTTAGATGTCGTTCAGCTTGCTTTGATTCGTGCTACATCTCTCTACTCCCGCTCGTCCGACTATTTTCCTTCACAAATCTCATAAATAAATAAATAAATTTGTATATTTACCGACGGACGGTACACGGCGAGCATTTTTCTAAGTGATGTTAGTCCCCACCGCTGTTCGCTTGGTATTGACGGCTGGTAGAACAGTCGCTGATGACACTATGAAGACTAGTTTACTTCGCTTGTTAGTGACAAATCGGATTCCACCATCACATTATCTTGTTTAGTTGCCTTGGTTGGGCAAAAAGGATTTGCTGTTGTGGCCCCTACGCAGCATGATTCATGTCGTTTCCTTTTTGCATCTCCTTTAGTTTCACCCACTACTCTGTCACTCACCTATAATCCCGCTTCGCATCTCCCACATGATGGCATGGAGTTTTCTTCCTGAGGCTTTACATAAATCCAACCCAGCCGCTGGGAGCCCAACGGCATCAACCGTTGAACGCTTTGTGCCGTGCTCTCTACTGGCTCCGGACGTTCTTGCTTTCGCAGCCTAGGCAAAGTCGAGATCACTCGAAATACAAATAGATTCTTTTCAGGATGGATACTTGGGTTGCACACGTTTCACAGGCACATACAGGGATGACTTTACATGTGTTTCAGACGTCATGTGTGGTACTTCCTTCTCACTGGCTGCCGACCGTGGAACTCATGGTAACTCGATTCCCTTCGATTGGCTGATGTGAAGCATTACCTTGGTGTAGGATGGATCATTGCAATGTAATTGGTTTTCTTCATATTGTTCACCCATAACAGTTAGGCTAACTGCTCTTTTCGTATCCCAATCACTGGTTTGCGCTGTATCAGGTTGTTGATACACAGCACCGAAGTTTATTGCTTTATCTGTAGTTTCCTACCTTCACAGAATTTCCCTCTTTTTCTTGTTTCCCCTTGCGCTGGTATCACTGTTTTAGTCGGCGGCGTAGCGTCGGCAGTCTAACTTCCAGCTCAAAGGATGAAATCAGTCTGAATGCAATGTTAGGATCCGATATATCTATACACCCAACTAACTGCGTTTAGCCTTATTTTTTGGACTATTCCATTACCAAATTCAACTGGTTCATAGCTGTGTCTTCGGGGCTGCGGACCTTGTTTCCACCAGACAAGAGGACATTTCTCTCACTCCTGTTTACTTGTTCTTGTGGTGTCACTCGTTGTCGACCAGCGCCAGCCTTTGCAACACTATGACTGCCTCACAGTGTTTTTGTACACGTAGTTTGTCGCCTCACTGTAAATCATCTCATTACTGCTTCTTTTCGCTCTCTTAGACGAAGCCGAATCGTCCATCGGGCCCGAAAGTATTCTGGTTACTTACAGTAAATGCCATTTTCCTCTAAACAAGTGCAAGAAGTAACCACAACGACAACGACGATGGCGACAACAACAACAACAACAACTTGAATTCAGTGTACTTCGCATATTCTCATTCATCCGCTTACATACTGTTCATGATAACTTCAACTGAACAGGGTTGAACTTGTTCAGTACCAGGATTCGATGTGTGTCTTTAGGGAAAATCATGCACTTTACCAACGCGTAGTAAAGCTGGCCACCTAGTCTAGGTGCTTGCATACTTTGGGCTTCACCCACCGGGTGGCGGCAACCTCAGGAAACCGGTGCAGATTTGAACCATTTTCTCGGATAGTAACCTCGAGTGCCTCGCGGGGGTTTCGACACATCGCCCAGTCTAGCTGGTATTGGGCAATTGAACTAGCAACTAATTTAGCACCAGTCAAAGCTAGATTCCACGGGATCTGCTCTGGAATCCGACCCGATAACACAAATCCAACATAGACATACTTCAATATTAAGTTACGGTTTAACGGCTCTACCAGTATAACTGAACGTGTGGCAGCATGTACATCGAACGTTCTGAGAAAAGGCTGTCCACTCGGATTGCGAAACACATCTTGCGGAACCTATCTTTGACTGGTGCTAAATTACTTGCTAGCCCATTTGCTCAACACCTGTTCGACAACGCGATGTGTCAAAACCCCCAAGAAAGATTAGAGGTTACCAACAGACAAAATAATCCGAACCTGCTCCGGTTTGCTTAGGCTTTCGTCATTCGACTAACTATTGAATCCTGCTATTGACCAGTTAAAAGTTTTACTCCTGGTATGTAAGCGGCTGAATGAGAACATACTAAATAAACTGAATTCAGTCTATCCTGCCGAAACGTTGCTTCTTCTTACAAGTTTTTAGTTCTTACAGGCAAGCGGTTGCATGAAATCTTCTTCTTGATTGGAGCTGACGACGTTTCTCATCTTCATTGCGTTGCTCTTTTATGGACCCTTTAGTTATGGTGGGGCGTGTCTGCTCGGCCTTGCTTTTCATCCGCTCCATTGGCTTGTTCGTACGAATTCCCCACCTCTGCCTTCTTCCAGGTCACATCGCCTGCACCACCGACACCAAAGCATCGTCAACCTCGTAGCAGGGACAGTCGCTTGCACTTCTTTAATTATCAATCGCGTAGCATTGTACACGAGGATTGGGGCCCCCTAACCCCCTGGCTTCCAGTACTCAACCGACCTCAGAAGACGGACTCGTTATCGCAAGTACTCGCTGTCTCCTCGGTATCAGCTGGTAGTGGTGCTGATTCAACCGACTCACAAAATCTGCAGGACGATGAGATGGATACTGGTTCTCTCCCCTGTTTGCAACAATCCTTAGATCCCGAAGATCTGGAGCGTGAGTTCACCTTGTTCGCCGCAATCTTCATGCCTTATTAAATCGATTAGTTTTTGTCACAGCGATTGCTCCGCTTGATAGAAATTGTTTATATCGTTTCTTCACTTTCTACATGCGTCCTCTGCTCAGAATCCTTGCACCAGACGGCTTCTCTGCTTCGATCCTCCGAGAGGTCATCCATCGTCAGCAAACACCTTCTGCCCACTGACGATTTGGATGAGGTGATTACTCCGAACGGTGTCGATGCTGATGTGAACACCCACACACTAATTGGCCTAGCCAATTTGGAGCCCGTGCTTGAGCACTCTGAGGATGAGCCACTGGTCAACGGCAGCGCTTCAACTCTACAGCAGGCGCCTGCGAAGCCATCGGAGCACGAATCGCCTCCTCAGTCCTGTGACGCATCGCTACCCACTTCCTACTCTTCCGCGGTCATTGATGATGACGAGCAGCTTGCCAGCCACGAAGCGATCCTCCGTCTACTGGAGCCGGGTGAGCGCCCGACAGTCATGTATCGGTGCGCACGTATCCTGGGCCTCGATGTCTACGAAGGTCTGTTGCTTTTTGGTCGAGCACACTTTTACGTCATTGACGGCTACACGCTGGTCAACACTCGTGAGATAGTAGACATCGATTCGTTACCTCCGGACATTGTGCACGAGCCCATTGTTCCTTGCACTCCAAGCTCTCCACAGACTAGTGGCCGCTGCTGCGGTAGCAGCCCGGATGGTCGGAAATATCATCTGACTGATCTGTGGAGCAGTGGGGCAGTTAGCCAGCGGTCTGGAAAGCAGTGAGTCCATGTCCTTCTGTGCTATACGATCACTTGGTTTTTCCTCGCGAGCCACACCTCGTTCCGGAGTCATTTCGTGTGGTTCCTACGTTCCCGTCCGATTTGCTCCTAACGCAATAGTACTTACCCTGACGCATCACAATTCAACGCCCTTTTTCATGTTACAACTGTAGTGACTTGGGTTCTGGTATCGCATGTCTCGCACCATCGCTGTAGTATAAACCACATTTCGGACAGAAGGGTGGGGCAAGCAACCAGTCATACCTTCTTTCGATTGAAGTGCTGAAGCTTAGAATTAGAACTACCACAAGACGTTCGATTGCGTCACCTTCTGCGGTGTGTTAAATCAGTTGTAAAGGCTAAATGAAACGTTGACTTATTAATTGCAGGGTCACTTCGAAGTACACGTTGTGTGACTGTATTGCGACGCGCACTCTCAATGTAGACCGCAATTCGCGTTGAAGCGAATTTTGGTCAATTGGATCCCTAGGACCTGATGAGGCATGAGGAAGTCGATTTCTTCCTCAAACTGGATTGTCTGTTTAAGGACTTGGTATCCAACCCCTCTCCCATAATTCCCGTACCTAATTACACACCATTTTGCTTTTTGAACACTCCTTGACATTTAACCGTTTTATTTTGCAACATTACCATATCCTTGACCCCTCAAGGACGAAGCCCTCCACTTTTGACAGATTACCGAGTAACAAACCGTCAGCTTATAGCGTCTCTACACGCTGCTGCACGCCTTACTATGTCTACCGTTTTTCATCAAGATTGCAAACGCATTTGTAAATGTTATGTATGGACCGTGGCCTGATAAACGAAACATAACGCGCAGGCGTAGTGTGAAACCGTTTACTGAAAGCTTTCTACGTTACAATGCACAAAAATGCCGAAACTAAGATCCATTGGAATAAGGAAGCTAAGACAAGCTCATTGTCAACCAATCATGTGAGCAGCTGTGTCCGCGATCGATACTCAAGTGCGTTCCTGATACCCTTTCTTCCATGGTAACTACTGCAGACTCCGGGCAGACACGGATTAAATAACTTGGGCGTGCGTTTGTCCGTCTTAATTGAGGTTGTTTCGTGTCTGTTTACGACTCTTTGGTTTGTGCGGCTAATTCCCCACCTGTTTGTGTCTCAGTAGCGGTCGATTGTTACCTTAGCTCACGGGGCTCCATTGCACATTTGGTCGGACATGATCATAGTCGCTTCGCCCTGTTCGATCGTCTTCCGGCTGTAGCTCCGATTGCCTACTCGTAGAGGACAGAAGGGTAGCGTGTTTGCAGCTCGCTTCCTGAAGCAGTCTTGTGTAAACTGGATCAAAATCATTGAGACGCACATTTCCTCTGGCACCTTGTCATCCCTCTGCGTCTTTTCCTGCTTCAAAGATTCGGAAAAGCAGATGCAATCTCGTACGTAATGGCCAGCCAATCATCAACACCGCCGGTAACTTCCCCCTGTAGACTCGGTCGGGGTCGCTCGTTAAGAGAACATGGAGCAATCCAAGTTTGTTTGCAGGGTTCCATAGGTCTGTTTGAGAAGATTTCGCCTAACGGTCTGGAATGTATCTTGCTAGCCCATTCGACGCGGGATGGTACTGGACAGACTTGATGTCCTGTATTCTATTATTGCCCTGGAACTCTTAAACCTTCTCACTGGTGAATAGTGTTCCATTTTCGGTGCACAACGTTTCTGGGATTCCGAAGATGGCGGAAATGGGTGCATTTTCGCAGCTATTATTCCATAGGTCGCATGTGAAACTGCACGCCATTTTATGGATCGGGAGTAGACACAGCATTCCATTGATCGGGCCAAAGTAGTCCTTCTAGACCATCTGCCATAGCCTCTCCGGTCACTGCCATAGGTAGATTGGTCCCGGGGATTTTTGCTTTTGATATTTCTACTATCCTTCCTTTTGTAGTATAGAACCATGGTTACAGGAAGTTACGTTTTATCTTTTCTACCCAGACCGTGCGTAATGCTTAGGTTTACTAGTCTACAGTATTTTATTTAAGTTTCGTACGACATCGTTAGTCTAGACTACATATCGTCGCCACATCATTCGTGCGGAAAATCTCGTGGTTCCCATACCATCTCTTCTTTTTTCAGTCATCTCCTCCGTGCCCCTCGTCACCTCTTGTCAGCTTTACAATTAGAAACCCAGACGTTCGTATCGTCGATGTACGCTTCTACTTCGATCGGTCTGACTTGTTCAGTTCGATTCGTTTAGACAACTATGGTCCGGGCACCGAAGCGCCGTGGGTCTAAGTGCCACGACTCATGTTTTCAGGGTAACAGTTGATAGCATTGACGTACAAAGGAGATAGAACGCGCATAGAAAGCAAGAAGAGAATTAAACAAGACGTGCGTAAGAGGGGCCAGATTGGTTCAGCATTACAAGGAATAACATTGAGTAGGTTGTGTTTGCTTAGGCACGAAATATGTCCGGTCACCACCTACCGGAAACGGCGTGATTAAGTTTCCGCCGCAACGAGACTGGACCTTAACGTGGTGCGACGGTTTGCGTACCACATTGACCCATTGAGCTAGACTGGGTTATGCCTCCGGGCACCTTGAGAGCTACTCCTACCAGGTTGGTCAGTGGTGAGAGGTCAGATAAACTCGGTCTCATGGTCCTCCAGGTTAGGGGTTTGAAATGGGAAGGCCTCCATTTCTGTAAAACAAAATCATTGCCATCTCCCCCTGCCTTGCCGACAGGATTTTGCGCTAAAGACTGGATTAGGACCCTAATCGTCCTCCTGTCTAGGTCTGGCCGCCCTGGCAGTATCTCAGTCCACATACAACCATGACGATTTCCTCAAACGTTAACAACATCCTGCATCTGCCGTCGTGCAGATTATCAAGGGTCGCGTTATCTGCTGCATACAGCAGGGCTGATAAGCGAAAACATGCTACTGCTGGCGCCTCCTTTTTTCCACCTTTTTCTCTCACTCCCATCCCGACCACCATTACTAACCTTCCTTCTATAATTTCCAGCTTAATTGACAGCAACCGAAGTGCCACTGGAAAGACATCTACAGTCACCATTCCGCGACACGCACCGGACGTCTATCGGCAACAGTCCCTTATAAGGCTACGCTGTCCCGTTTCCATGGCGACATTCAACGTTGGCACTCTAAGACGAATACGTCAACAGGCTGCACTCGCACGCACCTTGGACACACTGGGTATTGATGTGTGTTGTGTGTCCGAAACTAGGATCAATGACCCTAACGGGGTTATTGAATTAACTGCACCCGACTTGTCCTCTCGTTATTTGTTGCACGCATCCAGAGACGCCGATGTAGCACTCACGGGTCAAGCTGGTGTAGGTATCATTCTAAGCTCCAAGGCTGAGCCATCGTTGGTTGATTGGATTTTGGTGAACAGCCGTTTATGTGCAGCCCGTTTGACGACATCAGCTAAGGTGGATTCACGAAGTAATACAAAAGGCCGTTTGTTTGTGATTTCCGTTTATGCTCCCACCGACTGCAGTTCTAATACTGCCAAGGACACATTCTATCACGAACTGAACGCCCTACTACGCAATGCTACTAGTTCATATGATATATTACTTCCAGAGGATATGAACGCACTGAGCTCGCGACTGAGCTCCTCAGAAGCTCAACTGGGTGTTAATTATGGGCTTAACTCCGAACGGACTGACAACGGTGAGCGTCTGCTGCAACTGTGTGCGGAGCACCACTTGGCGTTCTCCTGTAGCTGGCCAGCAGTGGACCCAAATTGACCTCATAGCCATAAGTTACGGATGGCCTGGTTCCATCCTGGATTGCTGCTCGTACTGGAGTACCTGTGTCGACTCTGACCATGCCTTGGTACGCTGTCCTATCTCTGTGAACTTTACCGGTGGCGCACCAAGCGTCTCCTCCAATTAGCAACTGAGAAATTGTCTCAGCCATCGCTCAGGCAAGCCTATCAAGGAGCACTGCATACCTAACTTTCGCTGTCTTGTCCTAATGACACTGAGCTTCAGTGGAATACGATCTCGGCCGCCATGCACGATGCAGGAGCATCTGCGGGTGGCACTATCCATCGTTACCGTACCAGTCACTGGATATCCGAGAGGTCGGTGAACTTGTTGAAATCTATAAGACACCTTCCGGCCGGCTCTGAACACAATGTGACCAGACGGGCTATTAGGGGTGAACTAAATCAGGGCCTACATGCTGACAAGGAAGCCTGGTGGACCAGTCGGGCTCAAGAAATACAGGAGGCAGGAGTAATAGGCAATTACCGCAAGCTCTTCCAACTAATCCGCACCACTGGTCCCAGAAAACCAGGCGTCATTGAGACAATCGGAGACAGCGCGGGTGCGCTGATACACGATAAGGAGCGCCGTAAGGCTCGTTGGAGGAACACTTTCAAGATCAGTTCAGTTGGCCCCCTGCTACCTGACCTCTTCCTACTCAGGTAATGCAGGACGAGCCATGGACGGTTAGTTTAGACCCTCCGTCCGAGGCCGAAGTCCGAAACGCGATCACAGCCCTTAATCATTTTCGTGCCGCTGGCCCGGATTCCCTCCCACCTACACTGTTTAAGGATGGGGGTGAGGTCCTCTGCAAAGCACTGACCTCCCTATTCGAACGTATCTGGAAGGAAGAGTGTCCCGGCTAATTGGAGCGAATCGATTATGGTGGCAATATACAAGAACGGCAGTCGCACAGACAGTTCTAACCACAGGGGTATTAGCCGAACGCCAGTTGTGACAAAATTATTGGCCTCGATTATCGTTCGTCGTCTCACTGTGGAACGGGAATCTCGGGTTAGGGAAGAGCAGGCCGGTTTCCGCCCAGCACGTGGCTGTATAGACCATATATTCACTTTGTGGCAGGTGCTAGAGCAGCATCACGCATACCGCAGACCGACAATAGCTGTGTTCTTCGTTTTCAAGAGTGCATTTGCTTCAGTCGATCGATGGATTCTGTTCGAAATACTTGTGCGGAAAGGTGTTCCCACGAAATATGTGAATAT